TCAGCCATCTGATGGTTTTAAAGGAGATTCTTGCCACACAGCTGGGTGTGGTAGCCCCTGTCTGTAATGTCAGCTTGCCAGAGCCAGAGGCAGGAGGACCCTAAGTTTGAAGCCAGCCTGGATTTCTTGAGACACTGTCTCGAGACAGTAACAGTGAAGAACAAAAGCATAAAAGCTGGAAATAATCCTTTACTTTGCATTTCCTGTAAATCACTCAGCAGATGGAATCTGGTGAGCCCTTGTGCAGGCTCTACACATCGCTGAGCAAAAAACAAGAAAATTACTGGTCCCCTCAGTGATCTGACTCAGTGACTAAAGGCATTTGCCACCCAAGCCTAAAGACCTTAGTTTGATCTTAGGTGGTGGGAGGAGAGAACCCACTCCAAACAGGTGTCGTGCATGTATGTGCACACACAGGCATGTGTGATAAGAAATAAATAAGCAAACAGATAAATCAAAGAATAGCTAGCTTATGGTGGTATATACTTTGCCACAACAAACTGCTGATTATAGTTTCTAAGAAATTGTCCTCTGTAGGCTAGGAACCACCCTTAGCAGCACTGGGTGATTCTAGGGAGCAGGGGATGTGAAGGGGTGTTACACTTCTGACCACGCCCCCAGGCCCTCACTGGGGGACTCTTGACAAAGACTCTACCTCTGACCACGCCCCCATCCCTCTTCTTTTAAAATCCCTATCCCCACCCCAAGACATGGTTTCTCTGTGTAGCCCTGGCTGTCCTGGAGCTTGCTCTATAGACCAGGCTGGCCTCCAGTTTCAGAGATCCACCTGCCTTTCTCCCGAGTGCTGGGATTAAAGGCGTGCACACCACCATCCAGCTTTATTTATTTATTTTTGTAATCTTTATTTTGAGACTACGTCTCGGTAAATTGCCTAGGCTACTCTGGAACTTTGAATTCTCCTGCCTCAGTTTCCCAAGTAGTTGGAATGACAAAACTGGCACCAAGGCTCAGTTTCAAAGTTTTTAGTGACTGCAAAATAAAACAAAATGCCCATCCCATGGAGCCTTACCATTAATGCCAAGACAGCTCACTGTCTAATCACTGTCAGGAGCTTAGTCAGTCTGAGTCGCCGTCTTGATAGGAGGGAAACGAGAGCCAAGTTATCTAATGCTGAAACACAAAATAGTAACGTGAAAAAGCTGCCAGATTTAAAAGGACAAGAAAATCTTTAGTCATTCTTTCCAAGCAACAAAACCCTCTGCCCAGCCTCCTTATGTAACAGGAGTGACGCCTGCCACTTGTTAGCAGGTGGCCAGCCAACTTCTGTTTTGCTGTTCACATGTGGCCTTTTCCACAGAATGGAAATCATGGGACAGAAGCCATGCTTGGAACTGCATGCAACCTGGACATTTCTAGTTAAGCGTCTGCCTGCTGAGAGTTAAAAAGGCTGGCTTTTCAGTTTATTTATTTTTGTATCGTGTTTTTATTCATTCTCTTACTTTGTGTATGGCCTTACCCATGCCATGGCTCCTATGCAGAAGCCGGAGGACAGTTCGCCAGAGTTGTTTTCTCTTTCCACTACGTGTGTCCCAGGGGTGGGACTTGGGTCATTAGACTTGGTTGCAGGTGCCTTTATCTGCGGAGTCATCTCGCTGGCCCTTATTTTTATATTTTATTTTGAGACAGGGTCTTGCTAACTTTTCCAGGTTGCCTTAGAACTTTAGTGTTCCATCATGCCTGGCTTATTTATTTAACATGTGTGGTCAGTCATGTTTGTGGTGGCCACAGGCCAACCTTGAGTGTTGTTCCTCAGGTGTGGGTAGTTTCCTCTGTGGGTGGGTATGTGGCCTGCATGTGTATGTGCAGCTGTGCTCAGCCCTGCACACACAGAGGTCACAGGGTCTCACTGGTACTGCTCTATCTCTCTAACTCCTTCCCTTGAGATAAAGTCTCTTGCTGAACCAGCAGCTGGTCTTATGGTCAGTGGGTCTTAGTCTTTGCCTCTTCCTATCTCTGTCCTGCACAACAGTTGAATTATAAGCACCTATGGGAGTTGCACCCATATTTTTACATGGGTGTTGGGGATTCAAACTCATGTCCTTAGGCTGGGTGCAGCAAGTGCTCTTATCCACAAAGCCATCTCCCCTGTCACCTTTGTTTTTTGAGACAGGGTCTTTTTTTTTTTTTTTTAGATTTATATTTTATGTGTGAGTACACCATAGCCTCTTCAGGCACACCAGAAGAGGGTGCCAGATCCCATTACAGATGGTTGTGAGCCACCATGTGGTTGCTGGGAATTGAACTCAGGACCTCTGGAAGAGCAGTCAGTGCTCTTAACCGCTGAGCCATCTCTCCAGCCCTGAGACAGGGTCTTTAACTGACCTGCAGCTCAAATTTAACTAGAGTGGCTGGCCATTTTAGATCTTTCTATCTCTGCCTCCCCAGTGCTGGGATTACAAGTGTATGCCACCATGCCTGGCTTTTTACCTGGGCACTGAACGCAGGTCCTCTCTCTTACGTGCTCAAGTTACCCACTGAATCAACTATAGTCTTGTTTTGATTTTTCTTTTTTTTTGAGATAAGGTCTCACTAAATTGCCTGGGTTTGCCTTGAATTCACTGTTGTAGCAGAGGCTAACCTTAAACCTGCTATCCTCCAGCTCAGCAAAGGCACACAGGGACTTTTGTCTCCATCACCAGAGTCTTCTTCTTGAGCCTGTTTTTTACTTGGTAAGTCATAAGAGAGTGTGTTTTCCTTCCTTCCTTCCTGTCTGTCTGGTCTCAGGGAGGCCCTGAAGAAGATGAAAGATGTGTATGAGAAAACACCACAAATGGGGGACCCTGCCAGCTTAGAGCCCCGCATTGCAGAGACCCTTGGGAACATTGAAAGGCTGAAGCTGGAAGTGCAGAAGTATGAGGTCAGAGGTGTGCCCTGGGGAGGCGTGCCCTGGGGAAGCGTGGTGGCAGGCAGAGCTGCATGAGTCACTGTGGGGTGGGAGATGGGGAGGTGCTGGAGGGATAGAATCCAGTTGCCTACTGTCTAAGTTTTGGGTGTGCGTGGGTGATGTCAGGAAATGACCCCAGTCCAGAGTGGGATGACCTCAGAACCTTGCCTTGGAACTCATGCTGTGATCTCCAACCAACCCTAGGCTTGGTTGGCAGAAGCTGAAAGCCGGGTCCTTAGTAACCGAGGGGACAGCCTAAGCCGTCACACTAGGCCACCTGATCCCCCAACTACTGCCCCACCTGATAGCAGCAGTAGCAGCAACAACAGTGGCTCCCAGGATAATAAGGAGAGGTAGGTGGGGAAACCAGAAGTGGTTATGAGGTGTGGGCTTGGCATAACACTGGCCTAGAATTTCCCTGTGAGGGACTGGATATATGGCCAGGGTGGAGCCCCTGCCTAGAATCCCCCAGTGAGGGGCTGGGGTGTGGTCAGGGGGTGGAGCTCTACCTAGAATACTCCAGTGAGGGCCAGGGGAGTGGTTCAGAGACCCCGAAGGGTCATGCTTCCATCATTTTTTCATTTCTCAAGCAGCTCAGAAGAGCCCCCTTCAGAAGAAGGCCAGGACACCCCCATCTATACTGAGTTCGATGAAGACTTTGAAGAGCCTGCATCTCCTATCGGCCAGTGTGTGGCTATCTACCATTTTGAAGGTGGGCTTTATATAGCATGAGTTAAATTTCTTTTTGTTTTGACAAAAAGAACTGATCTCTTGTTCCTCTCTTGCCTTCTTGCTCTTTCTCTGCTCCCCTTCCCCACTCTCTCCCGATTCCCTTCCCCCTCTCTCCACATGCTCATGGCCGGCCTCTACTTCTCTACTCTCTCTCTCTCTCTGCCTTTACTACCCTCTTAACTCCCCTTCCCATGCCCTGAATAAACTCTATTCTATACTAAGAAAGAAAGAAAGAAAGAAAGAAAGAAAGAAAGAAAGAAAGAAAGGAAGAAAGAAAAAGAAAGAAGAGAACTTAGTCTGAAGACTAGCTCAGTGGTAGAGTGTTTGAGAAGAGTTCATAAGACCTTCCATTCAGTCCCCAGTATTAGCCAAAGGAAGGACCCGAGGAGTCAACTTAAGGAAGGGTTTATTTCTTATTTTAAACCATTTTTTTTTCTTTATTTCTTTATTTTTTTTTTTTTATTTTAAACCATTTTTATTTATCCTGTGTGTGAGAGAGGTCAGTGGATGACTTTCATGAATGGGTTCCCTCCTACCATCTATGACCTGGGGATTAAACTCAGGCTTTCAAACATGATAGCTCCTTCACCCAGAGCTGCCTCATAGGCTCTCAGTTTTCCTTTTACTTAGTACAGGACCACAACCAGTGGGATGGTGCTGCCCATACTCACTGTGGGGCTTCCCACCTAAATTCAAACCATCTAGAAGCTCCCTATTAGCCATCCCACAAGTTTGTCTCTGAGGTTAGGAGTGCCTAGATTCTGTAGCTGACAATATTAACCCTTACACCAGAGGATGTGGCAGTTGCTTGGAGCCGTGACTTCTGATCGATTCACCAAATCTGACCTATTCCCACCCCTCACTCCCCAACAGGATCCAGTGAGGGAACTGTCTCCATGTCTGAGGGGGAAGATCTCAGTCTGATGGAAGAAGACAAGGGTGATGGATGGACGCGGGTCAGGAGGAAACAGGGAGGTGAGGGCTATGTGCCCACGTCTTACCTCCGAGTCACACTCAACTGAACCCCACCAGAGGGGACGAGGGGCAGGGCTGTCAGCTGCTGCTTCTGGGCCACAGGGGGCCCCCAGGACCTTGCACTTTATTCCTGCCCTCGTGGCTTTTGGCTGAGACCTGTATAACCTGCTGTCCCTCATCCACCTGTCCCCCTACAGGGACTCACTTGTGGCTTCCCCATGTGGTTGTACATATTCGTCATTTAAGACCTTCCTGCCGCTCGGCTTGGGCCAAGTTTTGTTTTATATTAAAAAATATATAATTATATAAAGTTCTTGGAGTCTGCACCTCCAATATCAGGAGTGGACCTTCAGAAGGCATCTCTGGAGAGGTAGCTTGGTAGTTGAGCTCACCCTCCAGCAGGCACACTGCTGGTGCCACACGTGCTCTCCAGGGTTGCAGGGTACTGTGGGAAGAGTAGGATTTGGGTTGGGGGCCAGCATAGGGCAGAGCTTTGGCGGGAACAAGGGCTAGGTAAAAGACTTGCTGAGTAAGGGTTGGGGGCTGAGAGGGGTGGGGCGAGGTCAGGGCTAGGGGCAGGGCCTAGAGAAGAGGAGGTGCTTAGGATTGAGGAAGGATTTGGTTAAAGAAGAAAGGACCTAGGATTGGGCCAGGCTTGAGGCCAGGGAGGAGTCTAGGACCTAGAGTAGGGGCGGGGAAGACTTGAATGGCTCAGGCAAAGGCCAGGGGAGAAGCCTGAAGCAAGGAGGGGAGCCTGGAGCTGGGAGGAGGCTGGGGCAGAGGAGGAACATATGGCAAAGGTGGTAGCACAGAGCAGGAAGCCTAAAAGGGGGAAGAGGAAAACTTAGGGCAGGGAGGGGAGCGATGAGCGGGGTAGGAGCCTGGGGCTGGGAAGAAACCTGAGGAAGGTGACTAGGAAGGGAGGGCTAGGGTTAAGAAACAGCCCAAGGCAGGTAAGGCATAGTCAAGGCCTCTCACCTGCACCTTCATCCAGAGCTTCATCAGCTGCTTCAGCTCCTGTTCAAAGACCACCGCAGCCTCTGTGTGGCTCCTTCGCAGATGACGCTAATGCCAGGTGCTCTCTAACCTGGACACCTGGATACAGAGACAGGAATCCCACCTGATCCTCCCTTTTCTGTCACCTACACCTAGGCTTCCTCCCCATCCCTGTTCCCAACACACCTGGGGCATGAGCAGGGCGCCCATGAGCCCAGCAGGTCCCCTGTCTCTCCTGGCCTCAGCACCAATGCCAACTCCACCAGGCCTTTCAGAGCAGATGCGCACTCCTCCAGGGGCCCTGAACAACCCAGCACAGCCAGGGCCCTTGGCCAGCGCCAGCGTCTCAATCCTATAGAGGTGGAATGCAAGGGTCTGGGAACAGCAGGAGAGTTTGTGATGGGAGGGGAGGCAGGAAGTGGGTTGCTTAGTCACCTTCACCATGCGGAACACCATAGGTTAGGGAGTTACCCCGCCCCCAACCTCACCTCTCCAGCACCTCCAACCTCAGGTGATGGCCATGAGGAAGTGTGAGTAGTTCCAGACTAGAGGGGACACCCATGGCACTCTGCTGACTCTTGGTCACTCCCAGGAGGCCTATAGCCTTGACAGGAGATCACAAAGTGAGGTAAAACAGAATGTGCTGGTGATCTATCCCACGGAGCCTGCCTTCTGTTCCTGTGGTGAAGCATTTCTTCCTAACTGAAACACTCTTGCCTGGAAGGAGCAGGCAGGCTTCTAGGAAGAGAAGGGAATTGACAAGACTAGGAAAGTAGGAGAAACTTGCAAGTCTCAGGCAATCTCTGAAGCTTACATGGTTCACAAAATTCATAAGCAGTAACAGTTTCTAGAGCTGCCTGCAGGAGATGCTAGGAACAAGGCTTCGTGCGTCGACTCCCAAGCTGGCTTTGGGCATTTTAAGTGATGATGCTGCCTCTGAGTCACCAGTGCTCCTGTGAGTAACCTCTCAGCTGTACTGGGGGAAGCAACCCCACAGACTTTCCAGGTCACTAAGCTAGACTCAGTTGAAATCATTTCCTTCTGCCTGCTGGTGCCTTATCTATGGTGAGCAGACATTTGTTCACAGCTCCCCAGGAAGTCACAGATTCTCTTCTTGCTGAGGAGGGTCCTACCAGATGACCCACCTGGCCATCCACCAGCAGCAGGTGTAGAGCAGTGCTCCCAGGATGGTATGCTACAAACAAGTTTCTGAGAGTGTGCAGAACTGCAGGGTCCAAAGGCCGATTTGGGGGACCCAGCAGGCAGGAAGGGTGGCCAGAGGGGCAAAATGAGACCTCAACTTGTGGTCTTATGAAGAATCTGTCCCCCTCTTCTTCTTCCTTGGCTTCCCACCACCAGACCTCAGGCTCTGGATAGCTTGGTCTGGGATTCTTTCTCTGAGTGCTGAGCACTCGGGGGAGGAGTTGGCAGTAGGGGGGGGGGGGGGTGTTCAGAGGCCAGGAAAGGTGACTGGAGTGGCTTGGAGGGAGCCTTTGCATGAAGCTGTCCATCAGAGGCTCTGAGACTGTCTGCCATAGTTCCCAGATGAGGTAGGCCCTTCAGCAATGTGGGTTCACTGCCTGTCCAGTGCAGGGCAGATTCAAAAGCAAGGGGTGCTTTAGAGACAAGGAGATATGAGTGTGTACAGAGAAGATGGCTCGGCAGAGGGGGTGGAAATGAGACACAAGCAGCTGGCTCTCCTGCTTCAGCTACTGGTTCAGTTACTGGTTCAGCCCAGTAACTGAGTGTCTCCCCAGTGTCTGCAACCTCAAAGACAAACCTTTAACACTTTGGGAGGGTTCTGAATTCTGGATACTATTCTTTTTAAAATTTAAAGGTGTATGTGTCTGTGTATTTGTGGGTATGCACACACATGCATAAGGATGCCAGGGGATAACATTAGAGTTGTCTGTCCCTCAGGCACCATTTGAGCAGGTTTTCTGTTACTGGCCTGGGGATTCCTTACTAGCGAGCCCTACCTGTCTCTAATAACAAAATGCACCACCAAGCTTTTAAAACATGGGGTCTGAACTCAGGTTCTCATGCTTGCATGGCAAGCATTTTGTCCACTGCACTATCTCCCTAGCCCTTCCCCACCTTTTTTTTTTTTTTTTTTTTTTTTTTTTAGAGAGAGAGAGAGAGAGAGAGAGTCTTAGTGGATAGTGTAGGTTGCCTTGAATCAGAGATTGTTTACCTCTCTGGTAGCTAGGCTGACAAGCCTAACGTACATACACACTTGAATACACACTTATGGCCCTGTGTCAGTATTGAGAGCCTCTCAGCTGACCAGAGTAAAAACCCAAGGTGGGTCTAGGGGACTGAGTTCACTTAAGGGAGAATGGCAGAGCCAATCTCTGAGCAGCTGCCACTTTGGGGGCCCCTCGCCTGGTCTGGTGCCATCTTCACCTCTTCCTGAGTGGTCCAAATCTGTAGGCTGACTGGAGCTCCACTTGCTAGACAAAAAAAGGTGAAAAGGCTGTGGGACCATTCTGAGAGGAGAAGATGCTACCAACCATACCATCAATCTGCTGGCCACGTTGGTGATGGCATTTCTTAGTTCTTAATTGTGAGACAAGACCAGCAGAGGTGGAGGCAGGAGGATCAGTAGTTCAGTGTCATCCTCCACTACACAGTGAGTTTAATCCCACCCTGGGGTACATGAGACCCTGTCTGAAATAATAATAAGAATCCTCAGTACTGAGTACCTGAAAGGCCTGGTTGCAGGCGGGCTGTCTGTGAGTACATCCTCACTGAGGCTGTGCAGGCAGCGGCCTCTGCCAACTCACAGGCTTGGAGACCACAGCTCCTGTGGCCTGGGACAGTGGGCGCCTGGGAGTCATGTAACTGAACGAGGGCAGACATGCTGGCAAATCTCTCATCTTCGAGCTGAAAGAGGGCACGTGGGCGACCAGGCCTGGGACGCGGTGCTACTTGTAACACCTCAAAATGTAGAGTCTTGCCTCGCCAACAGCAGGAGATTATAGGGTGGCCCGCAGGGGACTGAGGCACAAACAAGGAAGTCACAATCTTGTAGTAGAAGGGCTTCAGCTTCCTGATGATGCAGAACAGGTGGCATGTGTCCAGACCCCTCCTCCCCACCAGACAAAAACCCGCCCTGAGTTAGGGGCTCCAGTCCCTCACTGGGAGATTCTCAATGGGTGTAAAGGGTCATGGCAGGATGAGGAGGAGGACTTTACCCCTGATCCATGCCCCCCAGCTCCTCACAGGAGATTCTAGCCAGGAGAGGACTCCAGAATTACTGAGTTCTTAATTTTTAAAAAAAAATTTAGATAAGCTCTATGTAATCCAGGATGGCCTTAAACTGTAGAGCCTCTCTACAGGTTTTTTGTTTGTTTGTTTGTTTAAATTTTGACAGTGTCTTACTACATAGCCCTGGCTGATCTGGAATTCACTCTGTAGACCAGGCTGGCCTTTAACTCACAGAGATCTGCCCACCTCTGCCTTTTGAGCTCTGAGATTACAGAATGTACCACCACACCAAAATTGAGAGGAATTCTTTGATTTCCACTCTATAGATTTGGAACCTGAGTTTCAGAGAAGCCAAATTCATTGTCACTAGTCCCAAAGAATGTAAGTCTAGGATCTGGATCCAGAATGTCTGGCTCTTGGCAATCACCTTAGCTCTCTGTCTGTCATAGTTTATTGTATTTAAGTGAGGTCTGGAACCTCTGCTCAGTCTCCTCAATGGTATCCCAGGAAAGGGAAACTTCAGTTCAGAGGCTCCTACTTATCAAACTTGAAGAGTGTCTCTGTATTCCCACCTTTTTCCAGCCCTGGCTCCAAATTTCTTCATCTTAATGACAGATTTCTCACACCAGAGTGGGAGAGTATTCCCACCAGCCTGCAGAGTCAATACCTGTCGAGTGGGAGAGTGTTCCCACCAGCCTGCAGAGTCAATACCTGTCGAGTGGGAGAGTATTCCCACCAGCTGGCAGAGTCAATCCTGTCGAAACAGCTGGCCGTGGTGTTGCTATCAGGCCTGAACTCAGTGACATCACATCTAGGGGACCGAGGCGACTCTACATCATTGCCAAGGCAACCGCCATACACTCCCAGAATCCACCTGGCTACCTCACCTTTACCTGGGAAAAGGCTAGGGCACCACCCATATAAATAGGCAGAACTCCCCCTTGCTCTTTTTTCTCTCTGACATCTTCTCCCGTTTCTCTCCCCACCTTTGCCCTCTGCCCTAATAATCCCTCCCAACCGTTTGATCTGGTGTTGTCTGTTCTAAGCTGCGCGCCGAGGTCTAACACATGGTACCAGGGTTGGCGGGCAAGATCATTTTTATCTTGTAGTGCCTGCATGGAGCTCTTGGTGGAGGGCATCAGGGCTGAGCTCTGAACATTCACTCTGTCTCAGTCTTTCACATCTGCAAAATGGGAGCAATGAATCTGGCACATTGAGGGGCTGGGTCTTATCCTTTCGCCGTTACCTAACTTTTGAAAGTGGCAGATTCATTCATTTATTTGCTCTAGTCAGTTCTTTTTTTTTTTTTTTTTTCCGAGACAGGGTTTCTGTGTGTAGCCCTGGCTGTCCTGGAACTCACTCTGTAGACCAGGCTGGCCTCAAACTCAGAAATCCACCTGCCTCTGCCTCCCAAGTGCTGGGATTAAAGGCGTGCGCCACCACCGCCCGGCCTCTAGTCAGTTTTAAATGTCAACTTTACATAGCACAGAGGCAATTGGAAGGAAGTCTCAGGTGAGGGCCTGACCTGATCAGATTTAACTATGGGCATGTCTGTGAGAGATAGTCTTGTTAATTGTGAAGAAGGGCACAGCCCCTCTGTGGGTAGCACCATTCATTCCTAGGGAAGGTGGTCTTGGGCTGTATGAGGAAGCTAGCTAACTGGGATCTGTGTTTGAGCCAGCAAGCAGTGTTCCTTCAGCGGTGAGCTGTTGCCCAGAAGCTGCAATAAGCCTTGTCCTCTCCTAAGCTGCTTTTAGTCAGTGGTTCATCCCAGTAACAAGATGAAGCTAGAAGGAGCACACAGCACACAGAGCAGTGGGCTTCATCATGACATCTTCAATGTGCTTATAATATTCTGTTCATATTCACCCCATCACCCCGCTATTGTTTAAAGATTTGTGTATATGTGTGTGCATCTGTTTATATATTATAAGACTTTTGGGTCTAAATGTAGGATTTTTGTGTCTTGGTTTGAATTTAAGATTAAAAGAATCCCACTGTTCCAGGACACACCCTTGGAGGGGCACACTCCTTAGTCACAGGACACTTGCTGGATTAACATTCAGAGGAGGATGGGAGAGGCTGATTAACATTCCTCAGACCATGGGGGAGGGGATCTACCTGTGGGTGAGGAGGGCCCAGAGCAGGAAGACAGACAAGGGAGGTCCTTGCCACCTCATTCTCCAAAGACCAATCAGTTTAAAAGTCACACTGTTCGGCCAATCATATTGTGCCTAGACACTTTCTCTATTCTACCCCCTAAACTATATAAAAACTATTCTTAGCTCCAACTCGGGGTTCTCTTCTTGCTTGCATGGGAGAGAACCCCAGTATACTGGAATCATTAAACGTCATGTTATTGCAGCAAGTCCTGTCCGTGAGTTTCTGTGGGAGCGCATCCCCTGGTTTTGGATCTTAGAATCCAACAGTATGTGTGCACGTGTGTTTATGTGTGTGTGCTCCTATATGTGTGTGCTCCTGTGTGTTCTCCTATGTGTGCTCATGGGTGTGTGTGTGTGTGTTCGTGCGCGCGCAGGTGTTTGCACCCTTATGTGCATGTTGAGGCCAGAGGTGGATTTTGGGTTTCTCCTACTCTCTGCCTTATTCTTTGAGGCAGGTGTCCCTCAGTGAACCAGAAGATTGGTGTTTTGGCTAGGCTGCTTGGCCAGTGAGCTCCCGGGACCCGCCTATCTCTGCTCTCCCAATGCTGGGTTTACTGGAATGTGAGGCCATGGCCAGCTTTTTACATGGGTGCTGGGGACATGTGTGCAAGCACTCTTCCCACTGAATTATATCTCCAGCCCATTGCCGTCCACTCCTGCCT